GCTAATACCACATTCAATTATCCAATGGTGTATATTTGAAGTAATTGAGTTGGTTAAGGAAAACTTGGAACAAATCCATATTAATCGTTGCCATTAATTTTTGAAAAGAATCACTCAAATAAAGTAGAGTAAAATAGTTTACAAAAAAAAAAGAAGAGACTAGAGTTAAATAGGGAGTACTATATTTTGTGTGACAATCGATCTCTTTTCTATTAAAAGAGAAATACATTTAGTAAATTAGCTTATTTGTGATAATTTTATTGGCTTAAAAAGATGACATGACATGTCAAAAAATATGACATGATTTAAATTTTAAATAATTAATTAATTCCATAAAACTAAAAAAAATATTTCGTGTGTTTTTTAATTTTAAGCCAATGAAATATATAAGAAAATTAGCAATTTGACCTAATTAATTAAAATAATAAAACTACTAAAAGTTGAAGAACCACTCTGATCGCTGCATCAAACACTCCCTTCACATTTTGCAGTTCAATCAAATAACAGTTTCAAAGCATAATAAATAAAGGGCAAACTCATGTAATATTCAATTCATGATTTAGCAAAAGAGAACTTTGTTCGTTCTTGCCTCCTGTGTTTTTGAACTGCACTCAATGTATGCAGGAGCTCAAATTAGCTTCCTTAGTTCCTCTCCCTTTGATGCCCAAAGTGGGGAATGGTTAAGAAGGTTTGTCGTAAGTAACACAACTCTTTGCATTAATAATGCTAACAATTTCGATGACTCTATTTTAAATAATGTTTTCAAACAATTAATTCAAGATTACAAAAGATTATGTGATGTTAACTAATAATCGATAATATTTTATTTTACAATATCTAAAATATTTGATTACCAAACAAATGATTCTCTCGGCATCACAAATATGTGTGGTTCAAGGTATATCCCCTTACTATTAAAAGGGAAGTGCTAATATTTAATCTCCTTAGGTGTTTTAATTTTATTGGCTTAAAATGATGACATGTCTTTGAAAAAAATGATAATATGGTATAAAAACAATTCTATTTTTTTTGGCGTAAACAATTCTATTTATTAAGTTAAATGTTAATGAATGAGTAAAAATGGAAATAAGAATTTCGGATTTAATATTTAATATTTTTTTTGTCACATAAATGGGTGATTGGTTCGGCTGTAGTTGTAGATTAATTGCTGTAGAATTTTTGCTGTAAGTGTTTTGGCTGTAGCTGTACATTTTTTTTGCTATAGATTTTTTTGCTGCAGATTTTTTTGCTGTACAAATATAAGTTGTAGCTGTAACTATTTTAAAATAAAAACATGATTGGTAAACATAAGATATGTGCTATAATTTTAATTAAATCGACTAATTTTATGAAAATAAAATGTTTTGTACTAATTATACAAATAATCAAGTTTATAGAAACTTTATGTAATTTTCAATGCAATAAAAAAACCTCAAAATTATTTTAAAATGGACAATTAAAAAAAATTAAAAATCATTTTAAAATTAAATAATTTCGGTAAATGTATTTAAAATATAATACTTTAGTGATTGATAGAATATTCATAATACTTTTGATTTTATCTTTTCCATAGATTCATCACAATCTTGTTTTAAAATTCTTCCATATATATTTTTTCTCTCAAAACTTTGTTTTTATGAAGTTTTAACTAAATAATCATAATAAAAGTGTATAACATGATTTTTTTTTTTTTAAAAGAGTTTGTACAGCCATAAAAATGGGATTGTAAGATTTTACATGTTACATCAAAAGAAACTTAAAAAAACAATTAAAAAGGCTGTAACTTAAAAAATTAAAGCAAAAACATGATTAGTAAAAAAAAAGTGTATGTTTGAAACTTAAAGAATTAAAACTACAACTATATAGAAACATAATTACTATTCGAATACTAAAGCAACATAAAAGATTGTCAAACCAAACTTCAATCGATCCTTCTTCTTCATAGTTGCATAACTAAATTTTGTCAACATCTATCTTCTATTAATTATTGAGTAATCTCAGAAAATCCAAAAAAAACCTCCAAACATAGTTCGGTCTTTGGCATGTGTAAAACCAACTACGTATGATTGAAAAATCATTTATATTCCCTTTCTCCAGTTGTACTTATCTTTCTATTCATAATATGATTTGAGTTTTAATCTATACGCAGAGCTATGGATGTAGGCAAACGGAAATAGAGAAAGGTGAACAAAAAGATTGACCGAAGAAATTGTAATGTTCTTTAGTCAGATCAGGTGGATCACACCAAAAGACGGAACGCACAAAGTCAAAGATTTCAAGCATGCGAAGGGTTATAACAAAAAGCAAGTGGAAAAATCTACAGCATTTCAAAGTTCTCTATCATTTTGTTCCAACACATTTGTTAAAATTTTCCTTCGAATTTTCCAACTGGTATGTGTAATTGTTTTGTGAAGTTTCTTTTGGAGATCTTTAATAATCCATGTAGATTTAATATTTGGGTATTCTTTGACTAATTGACAAAACTGAGTAAGATTAAATTCAAGGCTGCTCGAATAGGA